ACTTGCCTGCCTGTGGTTTTCAGCAGCATTGCTGGATTTTGGAGTGGCTGTGCTGTGTTTCAGTACAAGGTGCTGCTGTACTCCCTCGATGGGCGCCTGCTCTCCTCCTACCGTGCCTACGAGTGGCCCCTGGGCATCAAATCAATTGCCTGGAGTCCCAGCAGCCAGTTCCTGGCCATTGGCAGCTTTGATGAAAAGGTGAGAAGTGTTTCCTGCCTTTTTTATCTAAATCATTTGAAGAAGTTTGCCCTAACAGTCTCTGCTTGCTGTGTTTCCTGAGCCAGGTGCGTATCCTGAACCATGTGACGTGGAAGAAGATCACAGAGCTTGAGCATCCAGCAGTCATTACCAGCAAAAAGACTGTAAGTATGGATCCCAAATCCATGGAGACCTTAGCAGAGCTTGGGTGCTGCTGTTTGTATCTGAAAGATGCTCATTAATCCATTTAATTCTGGAGACTTTTCTTTTTTTTTCCTCCCAGGGCTTGGGAAATTGCATGGTAACCTGGGAATGTAACAAAAAAGGGGAATCCTTTCAAATTTGGTGGAATATGTGTCTGTGATCATCTCTCTTGAGCAGTGATAGATTCTCAGATGCTCCTGTCACATGCCAGTGTATTTTGGGTGTAGGTGGTGGCTGCATTACAGATCTGGGTGTGCAGCCGATGGCAAACTGGAAAACTGAACAGGAGAGATTTGTCTCAGCTTTATACAATTCCTAACTTTAAACAGTGCTGGAACTGGATTGTGTTCAGATTTTCCATCCTGTGTGGACAGGCTCATCCAGCTCACCTAAAGGGCATTTCCTGGAACATCTGTCAGCATTGATTTTTATCCTTTATACCTGTACCTGCAAGGCCTGACAGATTCTGCGCTGTTGGCAGCAGGTGCAGAGCTGCTCTTCCCAAAATCCCGAGCTGATCTCATCCCTGGAGGTAATGAGAACAGTGTGTGGTGCTGTTTGCCATTGCAGAGGGACTGAACAGACCTCCTGGAAGAGTTTGTGTGTGGATTGTAAGCCTGCAATATTCACATGACTCTGCCTCTTAGCCAGAAGCCAGGCACGAGCCATTAAAGCACCTCAGCAAAGCTTCTCACGGCTGAAAAATGCCTTAACTTCCAGTTAGGTGTAAAATATGTCATGGAAAACAAATGGAAATAGCTCTGTTAATCTCCACTACACAGACAGGAATTGCAGTTGCTGTGTTTTATCCTGGTGCTTGTGTTCAGGAATATGTTGCAGGCACACTAAAATATTTTTGCTATTTTCCTTCTGCAGCGCTGCACTTTGTTTGTGACAGAATCAGATGAAAGATTTTGGGTTGTAAAAATGAGATTCATGGTCCTGCTGTAATGGGGATGATTTGATTTGCTGTCAGAAATAATGAACGGGGTGCATTCCCTGGGGCTTATTCTCTGCTGTGTTTTTCCTGATCATGGTTCCAAATGGACCATAATTCACTGGGAATACTGGATTCCAGATCTGCCTTGGAATACTGGATTCCAGATCTGCCTACTGAAGCCCTTTCCTCTGTTGATGAACCAGGGGATGCTGAGGTGTACTAAATGTGCAAATGAGCCAGTGGGATGTGGGTATTTGGTAACAGCCCATGTTCAAACTCTGCAAGGCCCTTCTGTAGAGCTCTCACTTGTTTCTTTGTAGATTGTGTATAAAGAAGTGGAGAAATCCCCAACTCTTGGCACAGAGAGACTTTCTTTCCCTCCAACAAGAGCATTGGCTAGTTCTCTCTTCAGCACACAGAGTAAATGTAAGCCAAAGTTTACTCAAACCAGACACTTGAGTTTGCCTTGGGAAGTCTTTAAATAAACATTGTAGGTGAACTCTGCCCCCTTGGACGGTGGAACAGATCCTCTGGATGTTCTCTAGGGCAGTAAAAATCAGTCTCAGTCTTTGTGGCACTGTAAATCACCTTTGGTTAACAGTGTTTGAAATAGTAGTTAGAAGGTAGTAGAAAAATTAATCTCTCCTCATTTTCCTGATTTAATCTCAGTCTGAATTTCCAGCCTTTCCTTTTCTGTAGGAGGGCAGGAATAGTAGTAGGGTGGCTGTGTGAAGATGTAGTATCTTTAAAGCAGTTGAAATTCTGATTGGAACATCTTGGAGAAGAGTAAAATATGGTCCTATCACTTCAGAGATGAGGGGTTTTAACAGTTGGATATAAATGCATTATCCATCCAGGCTCACTTAGTGACATACTTTTATTTCCTGTTCCAGATGACATTTGCCAAGTGCCAGTTTCTTTACACTACATCAAACCAGTTGCTGACAAGGCAAATCCCAAAGTGGGAGTTGGGATGTTGGCTTTCAGTGCAGATAACTCTTTCCTGGCAACCAAAAATGGTAAGTTCCGACTGCCCTGCCTTAGAGGGGAAACCATGAGGGGCATGTGGGGGTTTCCTTAGCAGAAATGATCCTTTGCACTATAAAAAGAGTCATGGCCCTGTAAAATCAGCTCTGTTGGGAGATGTGTAACTACAGGGGAATCCCAGCCTGTCTTGTAGTGTGTGTTAACTGTTGTGAGCTGCCAGAGCTGCTGATCAGGGCATGAACTCAGCCTTGGCTCTGTATTTAATGAAAATAGTGGGGTTTTATATTTCTTCAAGTTTGTGTGAGCACACTGTATTGAAAATGAAACAAATCTTCCCACTTATAGCCTGGGTCTCTTAAAAGGCAGAACTCTGCACGACCTATAGCAGGAGGAATTCTGACTTCCTGAATAGTGAAAGTCATGGAATTAAGGTTCCATTTTGGTCCTGAGGGGCTGTTTGTGCCTGGATGCCAAAGCTCTGGGTCAGGTGCAAAACCCATCAGACAGACAAATGTGATAAAAGCCAGGGAAGGACTGGGAGATGGACTAGATCACTTTTACCTTTTTTTGCAATATTTCCTGAAGGCTCTGCTTGGCAAAACTCAAGTAGTGCTAACCCTGGGGTGTACCTAAAGATTTGCATTGTACGGATTTGTTTGTTCCTGTGCATTTAGAAAAACCACACGCGATCCTTCATCCTCCAGCTATCACACAACTGCTGCTTCCTCTGCAGATAACATTCCCAACGCTGTGTGGATCTGGGACATCAGGAAGCTGAAGCTGGCAGTGGTGTTGGAGCAGCTGTACACCATCCAGTGCTTCCAGTGGGACCCCTGCCAGCCCCGCCTGGCTGTGTGCACGGGCAGCAGCAGAGTGTACCTGTGGTCCCCAGCTGGCTGTGTCGTTGTGAAGGTGCCTGGGGAAGGTGAGCACACGACCTCCCAGCAACTGCTCCGTTGGTGGAACCCTGGCTGCTTGAGAACTTTTAGATTTTCTGTGCTGGAAAAAGTTTCTCCCCAAGGGAACGCTGCATTTGACCCGAGGCCGTGGAGAAGGCTTCCGAAATGGAATGATGGGACTGGGATTGGGGGTGTGTAGTTTGCAGAGAAGTGTGTGATATCACAGGGTGGAAAACCTAGAGTTTAAGGGTTTAGAATATAAGTGATATATGTATATAAAGCAAGATGGACGTTTTAGAGTGGATGCTGGTCCCTCCTTCCCCTCCTTCCCCTCCTCCACAGGTTTGGGTGGTTTTGTGGAATTGGATAAAACTCCGCATTGCGGGGCATGGGTGGTTGGTCATTGGGTTAAAAATAAAAACAATCTAGGTGTCATTTCTTAATTGGACAGTTGATCCTTAAAAGGCCTTGTAGAGAGAGAGAGACACAGCTCCACTTTTAGCCAGTTAAAGTGAAGTGCTGTAGAACTCAGGGTTTGTGAGACTGTAACATAGATTAAGAATTAATAAACATCTGAGTCCCAACAAGAAATCCATCTCACACATTTAATCCTGACCCCGACAGAAAAGAACTAAAGAATCCAGACTCAGTGAAAAATAATATTCTATTTATAAATTGATCTGAGTGTTATCCTGGAAATAGCTCAGGTGTGTTCTTGGAGCTGCTTAAAAATGGCTGTTTTCACCCTCAGGAAAAGAGGAGCTCACAGTGAGACACGGGAAATGTCTCAGGGACAGCATGGGGCCAAGCAGGGATTTATTTGTGTGGCTGATTCCAGCTGCCTTTTCCTCCAGCAGGAGGATGGGCTGCCAGCTCCTGGCTGACACACTGATCTCTTCCTGCAGGTGACTTCCAGATTGTGTCTCTCTCCTGGCATTCCAGTGGGGACTCCATGCTGCTCCTGAGTAAGGACCACTTCTGTGTGTGTTACTTGGAGAGAGAAGAGGTAAAATAAAAGAACTAAAATGCATTAAAACTGCTCCCAAGTCTGAGGAAGAAAGAGGAAAAGGATTGAAAACTTGTTGCCCAGTCTGAAGTGTTTGTATTTATAGGTTATTTATTTGAAGGAGCTCCAAGCTCGGTGTGTGAAATACTGTGACTGCATTTGAATGAAGTGATGTAGCAAGTGAAATGTAAGGAATGAGTGTCTATTGCAAGAAAACCTGAATATTGAGGGAGTTGGTATTTTTCAACTCTGAACCCTTATTTTCTAAAACTGTAGCTCTGTGTATATATAATGTATAGCTATTATTTAAATTTTCTATTTCCAATAAATATTTTGATAGTTACAAACTATAAACCTGCACCTCTGCACTTGAAAGTCTGTTTCAGTGTGATCAGTGATGTGATGATGTAGTGATTTACCCCAGCACAAGGAAACTGTTACTTGCACACAAATAATTTTGGGTGACAGTAACTGTGCCTGGGCCACCGTGGATTTATTACATGGAATCTTTGCCAGAGGGATCACAATTTGACACCTGAAGATGCTGAATTACAGGTAACTGAAATGAGACTTTTTGTCCCAACTCTGGTGCCAAATAGGAGTGGATGGTTTGGCAGGGAAGGAGCAGTTGGAATCCTTCCTTGTTTTTCCCTGTGTCCTTCCAAGGAGGGAACCTCTTGTTTAGGAATTTACCGGATGTTTTTTCTTTTGTTACCTAAAAAATTTCACAGCCTCAGTCTCCAGAAAATGAAGAACAAACGCCAAGTAAGAGTTGAAATTTTAACTTTACTGCAAGGTTAATGAAAATTGAACAGGTAACTTAGAAAATGCATGGAGAAGCTTGGAAAGCTGGAGTCAGGACTGGCTGCAACAGGAGTTTCACAAACACTCACCTACGTTAAGATCAAAACCACTGTGGCACAGTGTTCATCCAGCTCTGATGAAAGGGCATGGAGAGAAGGTCATGCACAAGGAAAAAGCTTGTTAGAGTCACCTCCTGAGCAATTACAGCTGTAATCTCTTCTGAATTTCATCCCTGGATGAGAGGTTCAGTGCAGGAATGTATGAATCAAGGCTGACACACAGTGCTGAAAGTTTTCTCTGTCTCCGTTAAAAAGTCCTGGCCCAAACTAGCGTAGATTTAAGAAAAATGGCTAAGAGTATCAATCTAACCAAAATAGAATTCCTTTTCAGTTCTACAAAGAACAGCTTTGAAGGCAAATGTGTTTGTGAGGCTTTTGGCAACGTTCTCTCACAACAGTTTTTATTCTGTGGCTGCAGCAAAGAAACAGAAGTAGAGAGGAAGTTCCAGTAGGTTCTTAGAGAGATTTTTACAAGAAGCTCAGAAATGCATATTGAGTTCACAAACTGCTGCTGAGCAGGTGGAACAGTGGCAGCTTTAGCAAAAGCTAGCAAATACTGTTAAAGACTGACTGACAGCTTTGAAAATTCCTAACAGGCATTAATCAGAGCTCTGAGATCATGGTGATTGGAACAGCAATTCCTCTTAAACAACACAAGGGAGTCCCAAGCACACTACAGGATTTGACACCGTACACAGGGATACAGCAGGGCTAGGGCACCAAGGTCCTGCTGTGCCCTGGGGGTTTCAGCAGGTTCCAGTGGCACCAAGGTCCTGCTGTGCTCTGGGGTTTCAGCAGGTTCCAATGGCACCAGGGTCCTGCTGTGCTCTGGGGGTTTCAGCAGGTTCCAATGGCACCAAGGTCCTGCTGTGCCCTGGGGGTTTCAGCAGGTTCCAATGGCACCAAGGTCCTGCTGTGCTCTGGGGGTTTCAGCAGGTTCCAATGGCACCAAGGTCCTGCTGTGCCCTGGGGTTTCAGCAGGTTCCAGTGGCACCAAGGTCCTGCTGTGCTCTGGGGGTTTCAGCAGGTTCCAATGGCACCAAGGTCCTGCTGTGCTCTGGGGGTTTCAGCAGGTTCCAATGGCACCAAGGTCCTGCTGTGCTCTGGGGGCTTCAGCAGGTTCCAATGGCACTTGATGGATTGGGAAGAGCAGGCTCTGGGACACAGAACACACCACGGCTCATTCACCCTGCATAAGGACCAGTGAGGGCTGTAAATCAGGTACAAAATACAAGGCTGGCACCACCCTGTGTCTGCTTCAAATCCAGCCTGTGCATTCCCCAAACAACCTGGGAACTGTCCTACAACGTCCCCCTTTCCTTTCTTTTCCATTCCTTCCCCTGGCAACTTTATCACGTGCTCTGCCCTCAGCACCCTCTCCCCAACTCACTTGCCCTTGAACAGGTGACACACAAGGGGGTTTAAAATCCAATTTTGCCTCTTGTCATGGAGTAGCCCAGCTTGGCCTCGTTGTTGATGAAGGACATCAGTCCCAGGTAGGTCTCGATGAGGATGGGCCGCTCCAGCACCAACACCCCGTTAGCACTTCCTGGCACTGGGCCCTCCTTGTGGGCTTTCTTCACAGCCTGGATCAGCTGTGTTTGAAAGTTTTCCAGCTGGAAGAAAAGAAATCACCTTGCTTTGGCATTGTTTTGCAAACTGTTAGGTAGCTGCTGATAGGGAATGGTGAAGGATTAGCATTCAAGCTGTAGCTGTCAGGGCTCTATGGACTGTGATAGTCACAGTCTGATATTTAACCTCAGTGATTCAGTTAATTTCACACAGGACACTGCTGATGTGTGACTTAAACAGGGAACTTATCAGTGACCAGGTGTTTATTTCTGACTGTGGTTCTGCCCTGCTCACTGATGTGTTATGCTTAATAGGGTTCTAATTTTAGACAAACCTTCAGAGGGAAGCACCTATTACAAAAAGAACAGAAAACCACCTTGGTGAAGGTTTTCAGTGAGCAATTAAACTGTCTGTTAATTAGCTGGCAGTCCTAGATGAAAAGTCCATCAGCCTGTCAGGTAAGTAAGAACAGAAACAGCCCAAGATCCATTTGCTTTTGGGCTTTACAGGACTCTGCACATTCAGAAGTTTTGGCTTCCTCTGTGTTCCACCCAGTTATGGGTGGCTGGCAAAAGTGGGCAGTGGGGCCACCTTGCAAGTCAAAATTTGGAGACTGGGGAGATGGAGCTCCAAGTTCCACCTGTGCTGTAACTGATTTTGTTTGATTAATTGATGTGTTGAAGTTGTGTTTACCCCATGAGCTCAATGAGGTGCCTGGAGCAGCTCCTTACCCGGCACAGGGACGAGATCTTCTCGTCAGCATCTGCCATGGGGTGCTCTGTGAAGGTCATGTAGGGGATGTTGGTGGACCAGGGGTTCCACCTGTTGATGAAGGAGGCTCGGCTTTGCTTGTCCCACTGGATGCGGATACCGACACCTTCCCTCCTGACAGTGCACAATGAACAGGGTAAAACTTGGCTTTGAGCAAGGCTAACTAAAAATGTTCTGTCTGAAAAACACCCGCTTGGATCCAGAAGCGATCTTGAAATACAAGTGATAGTAAATTTTACAGTAGGCAAGAAATGCAGTAATTCAGGCCCTGGAATGTGCAAAGGGACATGCTTATGAGCTGAGAGCAAGAAGGTGAAGCACCCAGGACACCCTGGCCATCCCTCACAGCCTGTGACAGCACCTGTATCCTGCCACTCACAGCTTTCTACTCATGCTGAGGTGGTGTTACTACTACTTACAGCATTATGTAATGGTGATGAGTTTCTGCTCCCAAATATACTCCTCTTATCTTGAAAGTCCTTGAGCAACTTGCTGTTAGTGCAACTACTCACCACCCCAGCAAACCAGCAGCTACCCTGAGGAGTTCTAGTAAAGCTTCAGGAATTGTTTGCAAAGTTAAGCAAGCAAAAGGAAGAATTCTCAGACTGTTCCCAATAACCTGTGCCTGCTTACTTGTTGAGAGATTTGGGTGGGAACACAAACTCCCCCACGGAGATGGTGTCCACGGCACTGAGGGCAATCCTGGTGACATGCTGGCACTGCAGGCTGATGAAGTTGTACTTGCAGACCAGGAGGGACCAGTCGGTGATGAGGACAAGGCGCTCCTTCTCGTTGTTCCAGTGATCGATTCTGGGGAGAGAACACCGCTGAGTTTAAGTGGTTTTGACTCATGGCTAGGAACACTCAAGAGCTTGGCAGAAAGGAGAATTGCTGAGGAGAACAAATCTGTAGTCTTGGTGACGCTGTATTTTCTGTCACTTTGCTTTGCATCTGCAGGGCCAGTGCAAGGCTGAGGGTCTGAGCCCTGCTGCACACACGGGGCTTTGGGTCAGTTTGTTAAAGCTGTGCCTGTGCTTTTCTGCAGGAGTGAGTTCTCTACAGGACTAGATTTAGTAAGGGGTTAACTCGGGAGCGTTGATCTGGAGCTGAAGGGCTGGGTTATAAAGAAATAATGAAATAATAATGGCTGCAGCCAGCCTGGACCATGGAATAATATTCACCAGGTTTAATACCGAATAGCGCTTGGGCTGTGCGGCTCCGGACCAACCCCGCGGGGGCCGAGGCTACCCTGGCTCTCATCTCCCCCTCCCGCAGCGCCCGTCCCATCCCAATCCCATCCCATCCCATCCCGCCGCGGAACTCACTCGGTGAGCAGCCACACGCTCTGCACCTCCCCGTCCTCTGCGGGCAGCACGACCACGCGGATCTCGCTCACCGCCTGCTCGATGGTGCCGGGCTGCGGGGGGGACAAGGCAGAGAGGACAAGGCAGCGGTCAGGGCGGGCGTGCGGGCGCTGCCCGCGGCCGCCCCCGCGCCCCTCCCGGCGCGCACCCGGAACACGAAGTACTGGCGGAGGCGGCCGGCGCGGCCCGCGGTGCGGACACTGAGCGGCCGCAGCGTCTGCCGGGCCGGCGGAGCCGCCGGCTCGAAGGGCGGCCCGGCTCCCCCCGGCACCAGCGTGGCGGCCCCGGGGCTGCCGGGGCTGCCGGCCGGGCCAGACTCGTCCGCGTCCCGCAGCTGCAGCATCGCGGCGGCGGCGCCGGGCGGGCGCTCGGAGCCTTCCGGGGCGGAGCGGGGCGGGTGGAGCGCTCAGAGCCGCCTCTCGCTCCGCGCCGCGCCGGGAGGCGGCACTGCAGCCCCGGCCTGGACCCGGCACTGGAGAGCCCTCCCTGCCCGGGACACGGCACTGCAGCCCCGGCCGGGACCCGGCACTGGAGAGCCCTCCCTGCCCGGGACACGGCACAGCAGAGCCCTCCCTGCCTGGGACCCGGCCCTGCAGCCCCGGCCGGGACCCGGTGGGATGCGGGATGCGGGATGCGGCCCTGGTATCGGGTGTTGTCATCGTCACGCAGCGACGGCTGCTGGGACTGTCGCTGTCGCACACCTGGGGCTGTACAAAGCGGTTGTTCTAAGATCTTCTTTGATGGGGAGGCCTTATTGGCATCTCGGGCTTGTGGCAGCTCAGTTGCTTTTTAATCTTAGCTGCTTGGATAACATGTGGCCACTCTTTATGCTGTTATAAAGTTAATTTGGGTCTCCTGTATAACCGCGGTGGCTGGCACAGAATTTACCAACCCTAGATTTGCTATGGCTAAGTCATTATCTTATCATTAGTCATTATCTTATGGCTGAGTCATTTGCTATGGTGCTGTCATTATCCCTTGCTCAGAGCTGATTAGGTACCAGGTACTGTCACTGTCACATGGCCAGGGCTGTGTCAGGTGCTGTGACCATCGGACACTGGGTGTACAAGGTGCCAGGTGCTGTCCCCATCACACAGCAGGGCGGTGGGTGCTGTCACTATTGCTGCTCAGAGCTGGGTTAGGTACCAGATGCCATCGCTGTCACACACTGGGGCTGCACCAGGTACTGTCACCATCACAAACCTGGGTGGGTGCTGTCACATCCCCTGCTCAGAGCTGTATCAGGTACCAGGTGTCATTGCTGTCACACAACTGGGGCTGTATGAGGTGCCAGGTGCCACCATGGTTGCAGACCCAGAGGTGTTTGAGGCCTCTCTCAGCCCTGCTGTGGATTTTCAGGGCTAAGACAAGAACCCGCACACATCACACAATGTACAGTGGGAGGCCCTGAGCTCAGCCAAAATTGTGCTCTGCTCTGCCCAGGTGGTCTGGGCAAGACTCTCACATACCCATAAAGGAACAAGATGTGTGGGTCTACAGAGTTCAGGCACAGCTGCTGTGAAGCAGATCTGGGTCAGATGTGCAAAATCCTGAAATATCATCAGGACAGAGCTCAGGAAGGTACCAGAGGAGGGTGGGATAGGGACAGGATTGTGCATGGAGAGCCCCGGCGCCCATATCACATCCAGCACATTGATAGCAAAGATTAAATAATGCTGGGGAATGAATGGCACGTTAATGTTTCAGTTTCTGTGGTCTCTGGCATGACTGCAGATATTATCATCAGTATTTATGGAGCTGTATCATATCTTGGACCCCTTTCAGGGCTGTTTTTCGTGGAGCCAGAGGATGACATCCTTGGCGGGCAGCTGTGCTGGGAAATGATATAAAATTGAAAACACACTAAATTGACTTCACAGACAGGGTAGGGTTTCAGATATCTGTCTTTCACATGTGTCCCATGAATCCCCTGCTCTCCACAGCCCTTGCTCACGTGGGCCTCTTTAGGTGGGAAACCTCACTCCTGGCTTTAAAGGGGCTTTAAAAGGACTGCAGAGCTGAGTTTGTGCTGGGTCTCTCCTGGCTTTAAAGGGGACTGCAGAGCTGATTTTGTGCTGGGTCACTCCTCAAAGCACAGCTTTTCCCATTGGACCTTCCCCTTCTCCCTGCAGGCAGCCTGGCTGGGGTGGCTGTGGCGGGGAGAGTGGCCATGCCAGGACCCTACAGCGGGCTGTGACAGCCAGGATTGTCACCTGGGGCAGTGTGGCAGCTGTGGCTGCCCCGATCAATCCCCATCCTTGGCCGTGTCCTGGAGAGGGAGCCCGACTCCCGGCTCTGCCCAGTCCCTGCCCACTGGGAGCAGCCTGTTTCCTACTGGAAGGAAGTTCTAACTTTCTAATCCCAGACAGAAAAAGAGAAGCCTGGATTTATTGTATCCTGGAGCTCTCTCTGTTGTTATAAAACATCTTTATGTAGCTGCCTTTCTTATCAAGGAAGAATGAATGATGTTTTCTTCCCATCCATTAGGCTTGGCTGATATTTTACTGCTAAGTGGAAGCATTAACCCCCCTCACCTGCTCTTTTCTCTTACTTTAGGATTTATGGCACTGCTGCGACCTTGGGAGGGTTCTGGTGTAAGGAGCAGCTGCTTCAGTTTTTCCCAAGACTGAGCAGCTTTTGGGCATGGCCCTTGGGGACTTTAGTCTTGATTAATGGCTGTCCTTCAGCCACAAAATATGTCCATGAAACTATCCCAGCCTTCCTCCTTCTTATCCTGCTTCTCTGATGGAAACCAGCACCTGCCCCAGGCCAAGTGAGCTCTGGAGGGCCCTGGGGCAGCTCAGAGGTGCTGCTCTGGTCCCTCCTGGCCCTTGGGGAGGGTTTGCTTGAGATGTTTAGTGCAGCATCCCTGCTCTCCTCCTCCCCATCCCGCTGTGCCAGCTGCTGTGTGCAGTTGGAAGTGTCCTTGCCAGCAGAATTTCCTTGGGAAGCAATCAATTTTGTTATCTGCTGGAGTGCATGGGGAAAATTGAATCTCTGTGGGATGTTTCTCGAGCTCCTGGGAAAGGGATTTGTGCTGGTGTGTCCGCACACAGCCTTAGGTAGTGGAGGAGCAGCCCCGAGGCACCGCTGCTCCATCCCTGCATCCTCCCCCTCCTCTGCTCGGGGCTGGGCACCGCTCGTGGGAGGGATTTCTGACTGACAGCGAGCAAAGAGGCATGTGAGGGGAAGGAGCTGGACCTGGGAAAGGCAGGGGGAAGTTTTGTTACTGCCCTGACCCGCGGGGAAGCTGCTCCGGTGAGTGTGTGTGCCGAGCTCCTCTCTCCCGGCTCCAGAGGATGCCCGCAGCTCTGTGGATGCACTGAAGGATCACCCTGCCTGCTTCGGGAGAAAAAACCCCTTCGAGGTGAGATTCTCCTGCCAGAAGAGCACCCCCTCCTTCCTCCTTTCTCCTTCTCCTTGCCAAGGGCTGGATTTCAAAGTGCCTCGGGAAGGGGATGGCAGCTCCGGAGCAGCTCAGCCCGCATGGGGCTGCTCTGCTGGGCACAACCCAGCTCCTGTGAGCCCCCAGCTCCTCGAGCTTTGCCAGGAAGCAAATCCCAGGAGGAAAAGTCACTTCAGCGCATTTCACCGCCAGCAAGCCAGCATGAGAAGCCGGGTTTGGTTTGGGGAAAAATCCAGCTGCAACCTGCGCTGTGATTTCCAGCGGAGTGAAGAAAGTGGCTGAGCGGAACCCGAGAGGGAGGAAGCATCCAGGAAGGATAAATCCGCTCTCCCCCTGTGCTCCCACAGCTTCGTCCTCTGCAGGGACAGACAGACACGGGCACGTTGGGAGCAGGGGGCGGCGGGATTCCCGGGATAACCGCTGGAAGCACCTGGAGCGGGAGCGGCAGCTGCGATGGAGTTTCCTGCCGTGGCACTGTCGCTCATCGTGGCGCTGCGAATGTCCCCGCTGGCTGCTGGCACCAAACTGCAGCCCCACATGTGAGTAGGAAGGAAAGAGCTCCGGGAGGGGTTTTGTCGGGCAGGGGATGGGGAAGCAGGAGCCAAACGCAGTGATTTCAAATCAGAGAGTGAAGGGCCAGTGGGGAGGAGGAAGCTGTTGTGGGTTTCTTTATTTACTTCTAGATGTGCAGAAAGGGGAATAGAAAATTGAAAATGTAGATAGTCTTTCCTTGTAGGAGGGAGCTCCTTGGTTCAGCTGAAACTTTTCTGAGTGCAAGAGATGATTCCTGTGTGAATACTTTGCCCTTTCTTCCAAGACCTGCTGCTTTTATTTCACTTCACTCTCTTATCCCGCGTTCCTCCCCGCCTGCTGCTGTTACTCCAGCAGCACGTAGGCTGCTCTTTTTAATTACATTTTACAGTTACAGTTTGGTGTTAATCATTTGGCTGCTCTGGAAGACTTCCTTGCAAATTTGGCCTCCTGCCAGAAGATGGTCTCTGAGAGCCAGGGGATCACTGTAATTCCCTTTGTCCATGGAGCCCGTGTGGTGTGGGGTGCAGACTCCAAGCCGCCCTCCCCGAGGGGTTTAATTCTTTACAAAAAAGCGTGTCCTTTAGAAGATAAAGGTTTTGGAAGGAGCAGCTTTTTCTCCCCACGTCAGGGTTTTGTGCTCCTGCCCTGGCAGTTACTTTCAGGACTTCTTGGACAGGGCACTGGAGCAGAGCCCTGTGCCAGCACGCCGGGGTTGGAATTGAGCAGCCTGGAGAATTCGGATGCCAGCTGTGACCTCTAAGCTTCACCACGTCCAAATGAGTTATTTTCACTTTTTTTTTTTTTTTAAATAGAAAGTACCTCTAAGAAAACTCTGGCTCCTGTTGGAAGCAGCAGAAGCAGCCCCAAATACCAAGTGGCTCATGGAGTCAGGGACAAATGTCTCACTCTTCATCCTTAGTTAAACCCACTGACTTGTGCTTGGAGAAAGAGTTGGGATTAGAGAAGAAACAAAGTACATTTCTTTGATTTATTGGAATTAGCCTCACAGCCCTTAGCTCTGAATGAGCATGAAACCACCCCTGTGGCTGGTGGGCCTGGCACTGTTTCTTTCCCCTGCAGTGATTAACTCATTGAGGGGTGGATGCAGGAGGTTGCCCAAGCCCTTCCTGCCCTGCCAGCAGGAAATCCAGGCAGCGGGAATGCTGCACCCCTCACAGCTGTGACCCCTGTATTGGTTTGAACAGACAGGTGTCTGCTGAGGCAGGCAGGAGCCTTCCTTGAAATGGAAAATGTAAACCCCTTCCCTCTGAATTGTTATAATTTTGAAATTAAGGGGCTCTCCGTCAAAGATATGGGAATAGGATAAAAAGTTCTTTACTAGGAAAATTAAAATACAAATGCAATAGTACAAACAAACAAAGAAAAATCCCCACTGACAGAGT